TAAAAATATTACTCTGATTTACCAAAGATTTATAGAGTAATAATTCTTACATTTTAAGAAACAATTCTCACTACAATAGTAATCCCACAATATATAAAACCCCATGTAAAAAACTTAATATCTTGTAATATACAAGATACGAAACTATGATTTTGAAAGGGAATTTGAAGTCTATTAGGTGGATTTCATTCTTTATGCGCAAGATACCTGTTTTTCTAACAAGAAGTCAAATGTTGGAGAACTCTTTCAAAAGCAAACCAAACTTACCTAATCTTTTTCTCTTCTCAACAAGATAGAAAGAGGTTGACAGATCACGTAGGAGGGTAAAGCAAATAGATTTTGGAACTAGCAGAGAGAAAGAGAGATTGCGTGTGTTTATGACACTTGTCTTATTTTTCTTGATTAGAACATATAATATGCTCCATGGAGGACAATGTCGATCCTCCATGTGCAATCCACCGGTGAATACTATGTTGGACAGTCAATGGAGAGTCCCCTTTGTTACTCATTACCATAGCATGATAGTAGGGCTCGACACTTACGAAGAGTACACGGAAAACTATACAAAGATGCCATCTACTTTTGATATAAGGAAGTCACAAGCATTTTTTTCCGTCAAATTTTAAAACGAGTGGTTATAAAAATGTCATTGACTAAACTCAAAATTTAAAAAAAATTTCTAGAATTTTACGACACACCCCAAACTATCTAATTTGATCTTTAATAGCTACTTGTAAGAAAAGTGTCGGAGATATCTCTAATAGCTATAGTCGAAAAGAATTTATACAAAGGTGTCAACCTTATATAAACGTCGCCATAGCTACAGTTTTTTCAAATAGTTCGCTACCATCATGGATTGAGTGGATGAATGACACATTATAACCTTGTCCCTTGTTGACATTCGACAGTAACGATTGCACCAAAACTAATAACATTATATAAAAACACATTTTTCAACGTATTATATATTATAAGATCATTTCCCTGTTGTACAATAAATTCATAATTTCCCTAGACCATCAGATGTGAGATCTGGCGGCAAGGCAAGGAGCTTTCGTAGAAGTACTCAAATGCAAGAAAGAACTACCGATATTCACACCTGCCATCTTGAACCTTAAGCAAATGAGAAATAGATGCGTAAGGTCGTCAGGTAACATTTGGAATTGAGGTTGTTGAGCTCTATTTGAAGTGTTCGTTGATATATCAAAATGTAGACATATCGTAATAGCGATAAATATTACCTACTCCGAATATTATTTAATCTGATGTTTTTGATGTGAATGGTATGTTCCCTTTATTGTTTAAAATTCATGTGAACGGGCTCTCACCGCCATTTTTTAGTCTATTTTTTTTTTGTTTTTTTTGGATAACTCAGTAGGGAAGATAGACCCTGCACGTTTTTCTCAAGCAGCTTAAGAGTTAGCTTTTTAAAGGTATTATTAATGCAGTGGTGTTAGTGGTGAGAATAGAAATTACAACCTGGTCACTAGATTGTGGGTGCTACCATCGCCTTTCTCTTCGTGATATTTCCAATTCCTGCCGGGGTATACTATCTATTTACTTCCTCAGCAAAACAAATGTTAGGGATACCTTTTAGATCTGACATTTTGTAGATGTAATATCTACAACACATAGAGTGATCTTACTAAAAAAAAAATATAAAATAAACTCTCAATGTATAGTAAGAAAACTAACGCTTGAGATTAAATAAAGACTATTCAAATTTTGTAGGGCTACATCTAAGTATCACGCAACTCAAACTTCAAACTTTTTCTTTTGAAAATAGTGAACTAGTAATTCTTATGCCGTTCCTAAAATTTTAGACAAAAAAAGTCTCACTAAGTAGGTGTTTGGAGGAGGCACTAGATACACATTTTGTTCCCACGGGAGCATAGTATCGGTGGGACTGCAGCCTACGTGTAAACCCTATCCTCCAAATGGATTACCCATTCAGGGGTCCCCTGTTGCCAACCTTTTTGAGAATGACATTGAATCCTGCATACCTACACATAGATATAT